TGAAGCAGGAGGGGACTTCACACAGCTCCAATAACCTGTTGAAGATAAGTGTAAAGATGGGGGCCAGCTGATCAATGCACACTTTCAGGCAGGAGGGGTCATACCATCTGGGCCTGGAGACTTTCTGATCTTTTGTCTTTTAAAGAGGCCACACACATCCTTTTCAGAGATTGCTAGAGGTGGAGGCTGGAGGAAAGGGTGGTGATTGTCAGGGGACCGGCTGCTAGATCTGAGGTGGGGAGGGTGAGGGGGGAGTATTGTCTCTCAAACCTGCAGTAGAACACATTCAGGTCATCTGCTAGTTGACGGCCCTCCATAGCAGGGGGGATGGTTTTCTATAGCCAGTGATGGTTTTCAGGCTCCCCCACACAGACGACGGGTCATTGGCTGAAACCTGAGCTTTCAGCTTAATAGAAATATTGACAAATTGATACTTCAGTACAATATCTGCCGATTGAGCATTCAGGGGAAGTTTCCAATGTGGTGGACTAGGACAGTGGACAAATCAATGCCGTGCCCAGCCAGCCCTATAATATCCACAATCTATGGGAGGAGTTCCCCAGTATGACTATAATGCCTACCCTCCTCCACCAACTGGACAACATCGGGCCCCAGGAGCCAACTGTTAGGTAATTTTTTAGTCAGATAGATATTGGTTAGATATTTGTTGTATTAGAAATGTTTAGTGGAGACAGGATGTCTAGCTCAGGCTGTTAAATGCTTAGTCATTCTCATGAGTTTCTTGAAGGGTGCATTATGGTCAAGGATAACCAGATAGAAAAGTTTGATTGTCAGGAGGCAGGAGGATTATTGTTATTATTATGATATGTGTAACCGTAATTGTAATCATAATATTTTCTTATGTGTAATGTCACTAGATGTCATGTCAGAATGTTCTTAGATACACACCACTTAATCAACATTCACACACATTGATTTTCTTCATGTTTTGACTATTGTTATGGTCAGCTGCAAAGCTGGCATATCAGGTGACGCCACGGTGAATAAACCAGCACGGTTATTTTTTATATATCCAAGTGGTCCACTTCATCTCTGTGAGTTCCTGGTTAAAAGAGCCGGAAAAAGCTTACAACAAAAATAGCTTTCACAACGAAATGCCCCAGTGGGGGTGTCCAAAACAGGCAGCAGGGCACCAGGATGTACGAAACTGTAATCAGGGTTGGGGCATTTAAACTTATTAAGGATAGGAGAATGGTGTCTGAAGGTTGAAGAGATAAGAGATGAGATGGATAAAGTTGTGTCTTGAAACTGAAAGTCTGTGGAATTTTAAATTAAAAGCCTGATATTATTAGAGCTGAAATTATTATATTTTGAAGCAAAACTTGGTGCCAAATTTCATCTTCTAAAAATTGTGACTTTGCTGCATGTTGTTTGGTGGGGGTATATGTGCAAACAGTTTGGTTTGTTATTTGGTTGTTTCTTTTGAAAAGACCGGCTATGTGAATGCCACTCTTTTTCAAAAAGGGGGAATTAAGTGGGAGCACAGAAAGTAATGTTTTGATGTGTTACAGCTCCAGACTTGACAATGTAGAGGTGTGCCATCCTACATGTGTCAGTCATGTGGCTGCAATCAGATCTAGGCCATAGTTAAATGCAGAGGACACCAAAAGGGAGATGGAAGAATAGACAGAGGCAACAATGCAGCCGATTTGACCGCTAAAACTGTAGCTGGCTACACTGTATATACTGTACACATAGACAAATGATTCAGAAGTCAATGAATGAAAAACCACATAGGGACTTATGCGTACAGAACATTAAAAAGCTGCAAGAAGCAGCTGCTCCATCAGATAAACAGGGCAAAGAGAGATTGTCAAAAGTCTGCGTAGACACCAAATTTAATTTTAGTCCTCATGAAGTCCTGACAGGAAGGAAAATGCCCTGTCCTTTCACTGTTGTCCCTATAGATTCCCCACAAGCATTAGTGCAACATGAGGCCTCATGTGAATGTACACGAACACTAAATAACACTGTGATGAGCATCTCTCAACAGATGACACCAAGGAACAGGACACTGCTGCACCTGTCATAGCAGTGGGAAGCTGGGTCTACAGAAAAATCACCGAACTCAATTGGTTTTCTCCTAGGTGGAAGGGACCATACAAAGCAGCAGAGATAACCACACACTGTGTGAAGGTGTGGTTAACAGAGAACAGACTTAATAACGGGATCCACAGAACTCATTGAAGGTTGACCCGACTGACAGGGCCCTGACTGAGGTTCAGACTGACTTGAGAACCTCTCAGACTACTAACTCTGACCTAACACAACCAATACTAACTATAACCTAACTCAATCAGAACAACAAGCACTTATATTTGTTACAATCAGTAAAGATTTGTAAATTACACCCGGGATGCTTTTAAAGATGTTGCAGAAAAATTATGCCCCACCACTTTAATGCTTTAATGCATAGCAAAACAAAATGGCTCTAGATATGTTATTAGCTAAGGAAGGTGGAGTGTGTAAGATGATAGGCATTCATTGTTGTACCTTCATCCCAAATAATATGGCACCAGATGGAAGCATCACCAAGGCCTTAGAGGGTCTGACTGCTTTATCTGAAGAATTGGCTGAAAATTCTGGCATTAATGATCCCTTCTCTGATTTATTGTCACATAGGTTTGGAAAATGGAGTGGTTTAGTCACTTATGGTTTAGTGTCTGTAGCTTTATTTACAGCCATTCTCATTCTCTGTGGCTGCTGTTGCATTTCCTGTATTAGAAAATTAGACAAATGCATTACTAGAGCCATAGACTCAAAATATCCTACACCTCCTCCATATCAACTCTCTGTTAGCCTCAGAGAGTGCACCCTTGGCTTCCTTCCCACAGCTCATCATCCATGAAGACACCTTGGACCTGGAGGACAAAGAACATAAATTCCTTGTGTGTAACATACTTGGCCAATAAATGTGATTATCCTAAACCTTAGATCAGCTTCAGATCTAGGAGCTTTTAAACCAGTGCTAAAGACACACCTATTCACTCAGGCTTTTACATCATAACCCAAGGGAGGGTTTTATGTCTTTCCTGATCACTTGTCATATTTTATTGGATCACATTTTAGTGCATGGACTTTGATTATCTATTATATTTTATTGTGTTGTTTTTAAATGATGTGGTGCCATTTTCTGTGTAATCTTGCAACATCTTTTTCTCTGTTTTAATTTTGTGCCGCTATGGTCATTTCTGTGAAGCATTTTGGTACAACTTTTGTTGTGTTTAAACATGCTATATAAAAAACAATTTTGACAAATTGTGTTAGGAACGCTCATTCACTGGAGGGTGAGTGTGCGAAAAATGCGGACCCAGATGGCTGACTTCAGTGCAAGTGAATTTATTTGTGCTATACATCAGGTAAGCCTAACTGCAGACACTGGGGTCACTCCGGGGCTGGCCTGTGGAGGTGGAGAGTGGCAGAGGAGAGAGAGTAGAAAAACAGGCAATGAGTAGATGGAATCTGACGACTAGGCTCCGAAGCTTGCTTCAAACTGGGAAGGATATTTTTATGGAGCACTGTGCCAGAGCTTGCTTCAAATCAGGAAAAACCACATGACTGATGACGTTCAAACCACTTCTGCTTCATTCAGATTGAATCAGCCGACTGGTTTGGTTCGATAGACGGAACTATGAAACATTGGAGAGATACTGATGTATTTAAGATTGATGAAACAGTGCTCTGTCCTACCTCTTGTCAACACATTTTGGATTGCCTTGCTATGGAGCCATCAAGGGGAGCAGTCACTAGTGTGGGAACATTTTGAATTGGTGCCACCAAATAAGATAAATATTTCCAAGATTCAAGCCTTATTTTCAAGTCTGTTGTTCATACAATGGATGTCCACATTTACAGTCCCCTTCAAATAAACACAGGAAGAATAAATCACACACAAATCTCATTGTGATTTCATAGGTGCACTGTTTGCGCTGTCCTCAGCAGCTGATGTATAACAGGTCATCAATGCCTCTTAATGCTACCAGGATGACGTGTCTCTCGGGTAAGTGTGTCTGTGTGCGTGCGCACGCTGCAGACCCAGCTGGGAGATGTGTATATGCAATCAGTGACAGAGCCACTCTGTCATGCAAGATAAACATGGTTTATACTTATAACACTTGGCTTTCACAATCCAGCGAACACTGATGCAGCTGCTGTTACGTCTGTGACTCCGGCCGCCCCCTGTACCCCGGGAGCA